AATTGGAATGAATACTGGTGAATTGTCTTGTGGGGGCCTTTTCAAAATTTGTATTTAGCTATTATATTTGTTTCCTATTGCTCTGTAATGAAATTACCACAAACTTACCGTCTTAAAGTCACACTTACTTTTAGCTCACAGTTCTGTAGGTCAAGAGACCTGCATGGCTAGGTTCTCTGCTCAGGGTGGACAGGGCTGGACTCGGCATTACCCAGGCTGTGTTCTCATCTAGAAGCTCTGGGCGGGGAAGTCTACTTTCAAGTCTGTTTATATTGGCAAGATCCAGTTCCCTCTGACTGCTACTGAGGTCTCTGTTTTCTTGCTGTCCATCAGTGATCTCTCTAAGCTTGTACAGGCCATTTGCATTCCTTCTCATGTGGCCCTCTCCATCTTTAAGCCAGCAATGATGCATTCGGATGTTTCTGGTACTTTGTATGTCTGACCTCTTCTGCAGCCAGCTGGAGAAACTGCTTTTAAAGGGCTTAACTTGATTTGATCAAGCCTGCCCAGAATCATCTTTGTTTTGCTGTATAATGTAACATAATCATGGGAGTGCTATCTACTCATATTTATAATTTCTGTTTACACTCAGGAGAAAGCGATTATACAAAGGCATAGGTAATGGGGAGAAGTTGTCTTAGAATGTCTTGCACCACAGGTCTCATAACATGTTTGCTACTTAGAGCCTCTTATGACAGTGTAAATTTAAGCTGTGAATAAAAACATCTAAAATGTGATGCATTTACTACTGATTTCTTTTCTTTCTTTCTTTTTTTTTTTGGTGTAATTTAAGATATAATGCATTGGGAAGAGGAGAAACAATCAGCGATTTTTCACAATGAAGATTGATTTTCACTTTAACAAGTGTACTGTATAAAGTTATTTCCTGAATTCTCTTTCAAACCTGTCTACTTCTGGGACGTTTAACTTATATAAGACTAAATAGTCCTATCTTTTGGATTATGTCTTTTATGATCAAGATAAATCAGTTCTTAAACAATGCTTTCTAATAAACCTTCTCAAATACTATGATTTATAATAATAATCTCTTTGTTAATATTTTATTTAGAGCTCTATTTTTAACTTTATAGTTACAAAACAAAAAGTAAACAGTGGAATATTTCAAAGTCTCCTTTAGTTCAATCTTCATGAAATCATAATTTATAGAAGTTGGGACAATATTCATGTTAGTATGTTTGATGTGGTTATAGTGTATGTGTGCTAAATTATTAAGTAGAGGAAACTGTAAGGCAGTGAGGCAGTTTTTATAATCTTTTTCACCCTCATGCAATTATATAAATATTTTCATGACTAAAAGTAAAGTTTATGAAATTAGTCAACAGCAGCCAGAAAGGTCATGAGCATAACAGCTATAAATTGTATTTAAAAATATTAAAAGAATTGGACATATTTGAATCACATAGTCAAGCCCAAACAGAAAGGATAAGCTGCCATATTTTGGTCTCTTGAATACTCACCCATGGATAGCAAATGCTTAAGAGCTGAAGACCTAAGTAGTATTTTCAATGTTTTGAGTGCTTTGCACTGAGAACTTGAAGATTTCTCCACATGTTCATTCTGCTTCTTGGTAACTTTTAGCTCACCTTTTCTAACATCTACCCCTTTTCTTTCATTTTTATAGTTATAAAATTTGTCTTTTCATAAAGAACAAATGTGTCTCCTGTCTTTGTTTAAAAGAGGATCTTTCTCAAAGAGTTTTGGAGCAAGCTTTGACAGTTAAATACCAAACACCCTGCTTGGTTTCTAGGGAACATAACAGGGTATCTTTCTCCTTACCCTTGATCTACCCCAAGTAGGTTTTATTCCTTTAGAAAGCAGTTGTCTCTTTTATAGGTCTCTCCAGTTGTGTGCTTGAAACACTTAGGGATCAGAAGCGAGTTTTTCTGCAGCTTCCAGAAATCTCTAGATTTAGTTAAAAATTACCCTATTAAGTCATCTTAAGTTCCTTGGCTCAGGTCTGAATATTTCCTACTCAGCTGATTCCCCTGCTGTCCACTTCTATGGTTCTAGCAACCATTCTACAGCTAAATAATACTACCTTATTTAAAAACTCTTTCAAAATCAACCTTAAAGGGAGAGAATTATTAAAAGCATTTAGCTAATACAGAAAACCTTATAACAATACCTTGTGTAGCCCATTTTAAACTTTTCAAAATTACTCATATTCTTTACCTTGAGTTTATCCTTACTTCAGATTTGTGGGATACAAGAAGACAGTGACTAATTTCACTTAAGAGATAAGGACCAACAGCATTTTTCACAGAACAAGCAATCCTAAAAATATTTGTTAATAGAATAAACTATTAAAAATAAATAATAAATAAATTAAATAAATAAAAATAATAATAAACTATTAAAAATAAATCCATACAAATCCTAAAATTTGTATGGAACCAAAGTAAACCCTGAATAGCCAAAGCAGTCTTGAAAAAGAAAAACAAAACTGGATGTATCAGAATTCCAGATTTCAAATTATTTTACAAAGCTGCAGTAATCAGAACAGTATGGTACTGGCACAAAAATAAACAGATAGAAAGACCAGAAATAAATACACAATTATATGGTCAGTCTTCGATAAAGGAGGCAAAAGTATGCAATGAGAAAAAGATAGTCTCTTCAATAAATGGTGTTGAGAAAACTGGACCACTTTCCTGCACCATACACAAAATAAATTCAGAATGGATTAAGGACCTAAATGTGAAACCTGAAACCATGAAAACCCTAGAAGAGCACAAGCAGTAATTTCTCTGACACTGGCTGTAACAACATCTTTCTAGGATGTCTCCTGAGGCAAGGGAGAGAAAAGAAAATATATTGGACTACACCAAAATAAAAAGCTTCTGCATAGCAAAGGAAACAACCAACAAAAATAAAAGGCAACCTACTAAATGGGAGAAGAGATTTGAAATGACATCTGATAAAGGGTTAATATCCAAAATATGTAGAGAACTTCTACAACTCAACACCAAAAAGCCAAATAATCCAATTAAAAAATGGACAGAAGACATGAACAGACACGTCTCCAAATAAGGCATATAGATGACCAACAGACACATTCAGCATCATTTTCAGGGAAATGCAAATTAAAACCACAATGAGATATCACCTTATACCTGTTGGAATGGCTAAAATAAAAAACAAGAAACAACAAGCAGTGGTGAGGATATAGAGAAAAAGGAACTCTCTTGCACTGTCAGTGGGAATGCGAACTGGTACAGGCACTGTGGAAGACAGTGCAGAAATTCCTCAAAAAGTCAAAAATAGTGACGCCTGCATGGCTCAGTCAGTTAAGTGTCTGCCTTCTGCTCAGCTGGGGACTGAGTCCCCTTTTGGGCCCCTGGCTCAGTGAGGAGCCTGCTTCTCCCTCTGCCTGTGCTCACTCTCTCTGGCAAATAAAATCTTTTAAAAAACTAAAAATAGAGCTACCATATGATCCAGCAATCACACTCATGTATTTACCCAAAGAATATGAAAACGCTAATTCTAAAGGATATATACATCCTTATGTTTAGTGCAGCATTATTTACAATAGCTAAATTATGGAAGCAACCCAAATGTCCATCAACAGATGAATGGATAAAGAAGATGTGGAATATATATATTCAATGGAGTATTATTCAGCCATAAAAAGAATGAAATTTAATCATTTGCAACATGTTTGGAGCTAGAGAGTTTTAAGGGTGCCTTTTGTGGGGGAGGTTTAAGATTTTATTCATTTGAGAGAGAGCGCAAGCAGGGGGAGAGGCAAAGGGAGAGGGAAAAGCAGACTTCCTGCTGATCAGGGTGCCATCCCAGGACCCCAGGATCATTTAACCTGCTGAGCCACCCACCAGAAGCTAGAGAGTATTATGCTAAGTGAAATAGGTCAGAGAAAGACAAACACCATATGATTTCATTCATATGTGGAATTTAAGAAACAAATGAACAAAGAAAAAAGACAAATGTAAAAACAGACTCTTAACTATAAAGAACAAACTGATGGTTACCAGAGGGGAGGTAGGTGGGGGGATGGGTGAAATAGGTGAAGGGAATTAAGAGTACACTTGCCATAATGAGCACTTAGTAATATATGGAATTATTGAATCAGTATATTGTATACCTAAAACTAAGATAACACTATATGTTAACTACACAGGAATTAATTTTTTTTTAAAAAAGATAAGTAATGGAGAAAATAGAAAGGTTAAAAGAATTATCCAATATTACCAACATAGCTTGTTTGTGGCAGTCAGAACAGAGCTGGGCTTTTTCCTGGACCCTATCAACAGTAGTATCACCTAATATCCAATAATGATAATACTAGCCTGTAATCATTTGAATTCTGTAGTTATTATCTTTTCCCAGAGTGGTAAAAATCCATAGATGAAAGCTTATTAAAAATAACAAGGAGGTACACAATAACCCATACCTCTTAGCATAAAGTAGGGAGAGCACCTTTTTTTGACATAGCATAGTTTTAAAAATTCCTCCGTAGTGCCAATGTGTTTAAAAAGAGACCTTTCTGAAACATTGCAGACTTCCTGTCAATTCACAGGTAGTTCATGTTTCATTTAATTTATCCCTGACTGTTAAGTCAAATGTAGAGGTAAGTCTAGGGTCAAATGGCATTTAGTTCTTATTGTTACTTATCTGGAAATAACAAGAAAGCCTTGTTTCTGTTAAAAAATGTAAGTCTATACTTTTTATATCGTAACAGATTCTTAAAATCATTGCCCTGGCTCAAACTCTTAAGCTGACTCATATGACCAACTCTGCTTTCTTTTGTAAAGAAAAGCTTCTAAATTCCTTATTAAAAACATTACATCTCTCAGGGTTGTTTTATATAACTGTAACCTTGGATTTGGTAATCTCAGCCCAACTATTTGATTAACGTAAATTTAAGTGGGAAAATTTCATAGTAGCAATACTTGATTTGGCTTTTAAAAATCATGATTAAACCAATTAGAAGAACTAATAATGTATTTAGAAATATCTGTAGTTGGACTAAAAATCAGGAGATGGTTTGCTGCTTATTTACACTGTTGCGATCCCGCTGGTAAAAATACTTGTATCAGATGAAGTTATCAAGTTCTAGATTTTTTTTCTTCCTCCTGCTTGAGGCTGAAGGTCATGCTAGTTCCTCTTCACTATTGTGTGTTGACTCTGTCAGTATGACTTCTTCATCTCCTTTAAGTGGTGTTTCCTCGTTTTGTTTTTTAAGGGGCTTGCCTTCATAATCATAGCCAAACCAAAACGGAGGGTCACTAGGGTTATATTCCTGCTGCTGAACTATAGACGACATTCTCTTCGCTGCCTCCCTGCAATAATAGTGATTTGCGTTAGACAGTTGCAGGAATAATTCCTAATGCAGAATTTTCAAACTAGAGCAAATTTGGAATTACAGAACTGTCACAAGTCGAATGAATGTCACAGCTCTCTTGCAATCCTGAGAGGGAGGGTAAGGGTAGTTAGGCAAATATGCAGGGTCCCAAAGCTTAAGTAGCTCAGTAGCCCTCTGGTTGAGCCAGTTCAGAGATTAACAGACTCAGAGAATGGGTAAGGAAACTATGCATGGCAATGGAGTGGAAACACCGAGGGCACTCTGTAGTGCCTTTGAATGAGCGTTCTGCCTGGAATTTCCAGTTTCTTTGGTGAGGGAGTACCCTAACCACCCAAACTGTGAACTCTCCTCATGCAGGAACCCTTAACCCAGAGTCCACAGATCCCTGTTGGATACGTGGATGAACTTCAGGGAGATCCATGAAGTCCCTGAAAATTGATGCAATTTTGTATCTAATATACATTTTTCTAAGGAGAGGGTTTGTAACTTTCATCAAACTTGCAAAGGTGTCCGTGACCAAAATGATTAAAAATACAATCACTTTCTTTCTTAGGAAGTAAGGAAGAAAGCAAAAAAAGCATCTAAAAGTCGTTCTGGACCCATTTTAAGATGGGGCAGGGGGGTTTCCACCCCCAAGCTTTTCTTAGCAGCTGGATGTCTTACGATTCAACTCAATTCTGACACTACCTACCCAGAGACAACACCGGATACCACAGGTTAAAGGCTCAGTCTCACTAGACTGCCCTCCACTTTAGATACCAATCGCGTCCAGGTTGGTGCTCAGGCGTCTGACTGACCAGCTATAGAGCAGAAGTTCCAACAACATCCCCCCGCAAACCCCGCCCTTCTTGGGTTTGAGTAATTTGCTAGAGTTGGTCACAGAACTCAGAGAAACATTTTGCTTACTGGATTGTATTATAAAAGGTGTAACTCAGGGATAGCCAGGTGGAAGAGATATATAGGACAGGGTGTGGGGAAAGGGTATGCCCTCTCCAGATGCACCACTCCCCAAATCTATGCACATTAACCAACCGGAAGCTGTCCAAACCCTGTCCTGTGAAGAGTTTATGGAGGCTTCATTATATGAACATGTTTGATGAAATCATTGCTCATTGGTGATTGATTTAATCTCCCCTCCCAGGAAATCAGAGGGAGAGACTGAAAGTTCCACCCCTCTGTTTATGGTTGGTTTCCCTAGCAACCAACTTCCATCTGAAGGTGCTTTCCAAAAGTCACTTCATTAACATAAACCCAATTGTGGTGGAAAGGAGTTTGTTATAAATAACAAGGCACCTATTTAACCTTTATGGCTCTAAACTGACTTCAGGAATGGGGTACAAGACCAGAAATTATGACAAAGATGCTCTCATTGCTCTTATTGACCAGGAAATTTCAAGGGTTTTGGGAGATGTGAGCTGAGAACCATGAAGGAAGACCAAATATATATTGATCATCTAAATGACCAAAATATATTTCTCATAAAATCACAATATCACGGCCTCAGAAAACAACAGTATATCTAACTTGAAAGTGCCTTTTCAAGGGTAGAACAGTGCCATTTTTCTAGGAAGTTGGTTGAATGTTGAGATCATTACTTTAAAAAAAAAGAGTAATTGACTATTACCATATATTACGTTGAGTTATTAATTGCAAACTTCTGGAAATAGTCATTGATAAAGAAGATGATATTACCAAGTGCTTTGAGTTAAATTTGTGCTCAATGGCTATATGATTCAGGCAGCACAATGAAATTGGAAAAGGCTGGGATGCCTCAGTTGTTTAAAATGCTATTTCATTTGAACCAAATTTCAGATGTATTAAATTATAACCAAATTCAAAAGGGAGACAACCATAGCATTGCTAATTCCATCTCTTATCACATTGCTTTTGGCATATATAATTGCCATCACATAATACAAAAACTAAAAACAAAACAAAAAACCACACATTTAAAGAACCATGTGAGTAAAAGCAAATTATATAAATTTCTAGTTCTGAGCCACCAATCCTATGAACTAAAACTTGACAAGCAAGTGTCTTCTCTTTAGAGAAGTACTTATTCTCAAATTTGAAAATAAGTTTATGGTCAAAGATGAAGTTTTGCGTTGTTAGTGTTTTAATTTTTTTTAAGTGTGGTCCTACATTTGAAACTTCTTATATGATCTTTATATGTCCTCTAAGTAGGACATCATTACTCAGTAATAATAGTGTTATATCTTTAGCTCTCCCCCATTTTCTTCTGAAGATTATTCTTGCTTTCCAATTCTATGGAGTTGAGATTGCCATGTTTTTGAGGGTGTTTTCCATGAGATTGTTTTCATTGAGTACTTACTGCAACATAATACCAAGTGTTGAGGTAACCTGAAGCATAAAATATTTGCATCAGTTTCAAATATAAAACACTACCCTAGGCAACAGAGCTTCATCATTACTTACCCTTCACCCCATGTCTGCCTATTTAAACTCAATCAGTCTTTCAAAACTTCAACCAGTCCAGCCTCTTGTAAAGACCCAACCCCAATCCCTTCCTCCTCTGACTTATATAGGAAGTTGATCATGGAGTTAATTGTTTTCCAATACATAGTTTCATGGCATTAATTGTTTGTCATTTTAAGCTTTATTATTTTCCTTTTGTTTGAGAAGGTAATAAGTTATTTAAGGGTGTATTCCATTTCTTCATTGACATCTTCAATGACAAGGAAAACAAGATATTTTCAGCAGTTTACACTGAGGGAAGCCCTTTTTGCTCTCTTCTGCAGGTTTGTTTGTTGCTATTCCCAGCACCCTCTTAGCCCCCTGCCTCCCAAATAGCAGAGCTCTGGACACGCGTACCGTATTTCACAGTTGTTGGTCATGATTCAGTGTCACAGATGACAAGATCAGTGCAATTACAGGCAATAATGGTCTTGACCTTTAGGAAACTGATGAGTTTGGGGAGTAAAAGATTTGTAAGTAATTCACCAAAGAATATGTAACCACTGGCCTCAGAAGAGCAACAGTTCTTGAGAGGTGTGATAAGCCATAGGATGATAAGTACTCTTAATGCTAAATTTAGTAACACTTAAATAATGGGTCATACTACAAGCTACAAGCCCCGGTAAATGCGATGATAATTAGGACAAATAATGGGAGTTTGAGGAAAAAAATAAAACGAGAGTTGGGGATACGGAATCCTCAATATAGACAAGAAAAATAGGGAATGAATAGGGAAGACTACTCATTAAATGCAACGCAGTGGGGCAGAATCAAAATGAGTTTCATGTTGGGCACTACCCATGGGGGATGTACTCCATGGTTTATGCTGTTAACTTTAAGCAGAGCAAGAGCAGTTTTATTTAAGATAAAAAATAAGTTTATTTGGGAATAACAGAAGAATTGTAGTTCAGGACAAGCAATGTATGGTAAACCATAGGTAAGTCCAAAAGGGAAGCTCAGCTTTTGTAATGTTTTCAGAGGAAATTGGGGAGGGCTGTTTTCAACAAAAGTTTATTGGAGAAGAACAAGAGTTTGAGGTTGTGGCAGTTTCTCACTGACTGCAAGTGGCAGGCAGTGCCTTGTTGCTGGGGCAGGGAGGGATCCTCCTTCCTTTTCTCAAAAGCAGGTAATAAAATTCCTGTGAAAAATGTCCTCCCTTTTTGAAATACAGTTGACCCTTGAAAAACACAAGGGTTACGGGTGCTGATCCCTTATTTCTTGTCTCCATGCCACCCTTACCTTAGCTCTTAGTGGTAAGCACTGCTCTTTGTTCTACCCATAGTCGTCTTCAGTGGAACTAAACATGCGAGAGTCCCCTGACCATTGGGGATGATGGTTACAGACCAGAGAGGAGGGAAGGATCAGGTCTCAGACCCTTCTTCCCTTCCCTTCTTCTGCCAGGAAGTAGGAGGTTAATGGCTTTCTGTAGTCTAGAGTATTTCTAAGGCATATCTTAAAGTGTGTATGGTTTCACAGCAAGCGTAGTGGGGAAAAAACCTGAAAATCTGAATCTGTCCTGGGGAAAATCTGGGTTTATTAGAATTTGAATGCCAGTGTAGACTACTCCCTAATCCACTTTCTCCACCTTTTAGAAAATCCGCAGCCCCTGAACATGCCGTCCTCACCACCTTACTTGGACCTTTGGCATCCATCCTTTTAGGACTGACTCCTAACACTCAGGACCTGGCCAACAGGACAGATCAGCATGGTCACTGCCAACAAATATCTCTGAGTTCTTTTTCAAACATCCTGTTTTGCTATGTGTTTGCACGTATGCACTTTTGAACAGTATCCAGAAACTTGAAAATGTAGAAATGAATGTTCCTGCCAGAAAGAACACACACACTCTCTTTCTCTCTTTTAAAGTAGTTTGGTATCGCAGTATGGTCAATATATGGAAGCTAGGAAATGCTGAAAAGAAAATACATGGTTAGGAATTACTGTGTGTTCTTTCTTAGCGTGCGTATGGAATCCTTTGACTCCCTTGCACTCTGGCTTGCCCTAAGTGTCTTTAAGGTCCTTGGATCTTGTAGGAGATGCTTTGGGAACCAAATCAGTGTGCTGCAGAGGTTAGTATTCATTACTCCTTTAATTGGTGAGACAGGTTTATCTGGGTTAATATAGAACATGATTTTCAAAATGATTGTCAGAAACATTGTGAAGTATCCCATTAAATGTTTAATAATAATGAGGTACTGAATTTTTAAGTGATTTTTGGGTTTTATAAATTAAAGGAGGTTTGAGGTGATTCCCATAATATTACTTGCCCTCACACATATTTCCTCCTAGTTTCTTGAGTAGGCAAAAAAGGGTGGGGGGTGTTGGAGCCAACACTAAGACCACCAGTAATCCAAGTAAACTGAGCTCAACAGAACTCATGTCTCCCCTTCTTCAAATCCTTTGAATGTTAGAGCTTTCAAAAAGCTTGAAAATCTCTAATCTATAGGCAAAAGAGCAACATAGTAATGATAAAGACAGAGGTACAAAGTATAGCTCTGCCTTTTATTTGTTTGTTGACAGTTATTTAAGCTGCTTAAACCACCTTTCTTATTCATTTTTATGGTAATGTGGGTATTTATGAGGATTAGATGAGATGGTAAACATAAAATAGGATTGACATGATGCATAGCAAATAATTGTTAAGAAATATTATTTGTTCATACTAATAATAACATTAAGTAGTTCCAGATCACAAAGGTCTTTCCCCCAAAGATTTTTCCATGAGCTGGAGAAGAGAACTCTGGTTAAATTTTATTTCCTAGCAATGGACCTCTCAGGGTGGCTGGCTAGTAATCCATGCTGCCAGCAACTGCTTACAGAAGGCCTTCAAGAAATCTCTGCCCTGCTCTTTGGGGCTCTAAAGGCCACCAAGACTCTACTCTTCAGAGTTGAAAGTTTTGGACTCTGGACACAAAAATGTCAGAAAGGGCCCTCTATTGTTTGCTAATTATCGACTTAACATCTCTTTTACCTCTTTGTGGTTCCGTCCCTCCTGGGTTGTGGAGACCATTGTTTGGGTCTTTCTCCCTCTCTCTCACTATGCTTTTCTTCCTTTCCATGCTTTCTTGTTTTTCCCACAGAGGGCCATACATTGAAAGGCTGGTTGGACACAATTGCTTCAAATCTAGTCAGATAAGTCTTGTTATGTTTATGATCATAGTTGCTAATTATTCCTCCTGGAATTAAAGGAGCCTAGATGGTGTCTCCAAATGATGCTTCTGGAACTGCTTCTTGTGATCTCTTTAGGCTCTGGGACTGGTAAAATGACAGCATATCTCATGCTGGAAGCTCTCTTGCAAAAGAGCTGTAGCCAGTTTGCTCATCTACTAAAAGTTTGCTACTCCCCTGGTTCAGCAGCACAGGCATCTTTGATTTGCAAAGCTGGTACAATATTTTTAGAGTCCATTGAGTATGGGGGAATTTATACATAGAAAAGTTTCTTCTGATGGCTGTAATTGGATTTTAAGAGCCAAATCATACAATGTTTTCATGTTCAAATGGAATCAAATGTGTGGGAGTCCAACACCTTGTGATTCAAAGCCCCTGCACCTCCTCCCAAACAAGAAAAATTTCCTCTCTCCCAACTACCAAATGTTCCATTTCACCCAGACAAAACAGCCACTGCAGTTAAGGGAGCCACATGAGCCCTTGTAAGAGCAAACAACTCTACTTTTTTAGAGTGAACCAAGATAGGTAAGTGATTAGACATCGTCATGTACTTGAGTCTTGAAAGGCTCATCCAAGGATTTAAGTGGAGAAGGAAGCTGCTATATAATCCTTAGAGCTGACCCCAAAACAACCTGACTCTGGCCAGGCCTTAACACTTCTTCAGAGTTTTCAGGACCAGGTATTCTGGGAGCTCCTTGGCTGAAAAACAGTGCCCTGTCCTAGAAGCTGGAAGTCAAGACAAGTACTCGGAACCTTACTAGTGCAAATGCTGAGACTCTCCAAGCCATTCTACTGTGGGGACTGCCTTCTTTATTGCTAGACAAAGATAGAATCAAAGGATTATAGGCCTCTTTCCTACTGGAGCTTAGCAGGGGTGGGCCTATGAGGAAGACTGAGGTGGTTTGGCCATTTTAGACAATGAGATGGACAAAAACCAGTTCCCCTCCAAGCCCTAGGACCATGTTTTCTTCTTGCTGGTAGGGACAGCCACACTTGGTGGTAGAAAACAAGAAAGACCCTGGCTGTCCTAGCTTGGGGAAAGGAATTTTTCATAGATCCAACTAGTTAACTAGAGTTTTGCATTGGGTTTTGTTGGCCAAGCCTAGCTAGTAGTAAAGTCTTACTTTGCCTTGTTTTGTTTTCTTCACATATTTTTTATCTAGTGACCTTGAAGCAGAGTGAGCAGTCAAAGGCAGGATTAGGATATTATCAGATATTTTGGGTCTTCTTAACCAAACACCATTATTTATCATGTTTTAATATCCCATACCATAATTAGGTTCATAGGGGCTCATGCCAGAAATTCTCCATTAATTTTTACTTAAAATCCCACTTATGAGAAGTTCAGTGATACTACCTCCCCAAAAAAGTGATTGTCAAAATGCAGTCAGAAGATTAGAAGCCAGACTGCTTTGTGTAGTATGTTATTCATTCATTGTCATCCTATCCAAAGTTGTGTGTTTAATGATATGACAAGGTTGGCAGGGACTCCCAGGACCTTATTTCATTGTACCCTTTTTCAATGAAGTTAATAATATCTGTGTCAGTCATCTCTAGACCTATTGAGAAGAGTTGAGTCTCCACTCCTTTTCAAAAAATTTCAGACCTTCTTCTTTTTTTCTCACTCAGCTACCCTCCCCTGAACAGGCCTGGCACTGAGAGTGCCTATTTTATAAGTAATTTTTGTGTGCTCCCCCCCCCCCCCATTTCATTTTAACACATACAGCTTTGGATCAGAAACCATTTTCTTCCCTCAGGCTTCAAGTGAGCAGATCTCATACTTCAGTTCATGCCGGACTGCTTACTTAAGAAAGTTCCTCTGTGAAATATATGTGCTTAAACTCATTATACTTTGATAATATTAATTCTTATTATTCATTTTTCCCTCCTGCAGAAAAGAACCAGACCTTCAGGGATTGGTCAAGAATTCTCATTTTGAACACTCCACAGTTTACTTCATCAGGTCATTTAAAACTACATTCACATTTATACTCTCCATCATGGGGAAAAAACTAAACAAAGAAGCAAATAACTGCTTTATATTTAAAAACTCACAGGGTAGACACCTGAGACCTTCTACGTATATAGACTGTTTATTTACCCAACTTTTGCTTCAATATAAACATTTTGCCAGTTATGGGAACCTCTGAAAGCCACTCTGTGTTACTAATGGCATCGTCACATACTCTGTTTTCTCAGAAAGTAGTTCTCAGAGCTTTTTGTATTCAGGTCGGTACTTACTTGGAAATACACCTGCAGTATTGCATCTTAAGGATTCGAAGTTGTTTGCAGCCTCTCTGAAGGTCCTCAAGCATTTGGTCAGTAAGCAGGATACAACCAGAAATATCCAAAATATGCAAGTAATGGCATTTTGCTGATAACACCTCCATCGCTGAGTCTGTAATCTGAACACACAGCCAAAGTGAAGTACTGATTATTCCAATGAACTCCATCCCACAGAAGAATAATGTACTAATCAGTTTGGCCACTGTAACAAAATGCCATAGACTGGATAGTTTATTTTTTTTAAGATATTTATTTTTTTGACAGACAAAAATCACAAGTAGGCAGAGAGGCAGGCAGGGGGTGGGGTGGAAGCAGGCTCCCTGCTGAGCAGAGAGCCTGATGTGGAGCTTGATCCCAGGACCCTGGGATCATGACTGAGCCAAAGGCAGAGGCTTTAACCCACTGAGCCACCCACGTGCCCCCTAGACTGGATAGTTTAAATAGCAGACATGTGTTTCTCACAGTTCTGGAAGCTGAGAAGTCCAAGATGCGGTTACCCACAGACTGAGTATCTGGTGAGGACCCTCTTCCTAGCTTTCAGATGGCTGCTTTCTTACTGTATGTTCACAGGGCAGAGAGATAGCTCTAGTTTCTTCCTATTCTTATAAGGACATTAATTCCATCATGGTGGCTCTACACTCATGACCTCAGTCTATACCTAATTACCTCCCAAAGCCTTACCTCCCAGGACTATCACACTGAGAATGAGGGTTTCAACATATGAATGGGTGGGAGGCAAAAATTCAGTCCATAGCAAACAGAAACAAAATTCTAGCCAGCTTGTCATGTGATGGGCCTATAACTCACGTTAGTGATTTACCTGTTCCCAGAACAGAAAAACTATGGTTCAGGTGGCACCAACAGATTTAGTGATCTTGCTGTTATTTTCATTTTAGAGTTCTCTACTTTGGATGGGTAACTTCATCAAAACTTCCTTAGTCATACCTGTCACACCAATATGAGCAACTTATGAAATGCTGCCATAACGGGATTTGGCTTTACACTCAAATCCACTTTGAGGCATCATCATTTTAGAAACACAGGTTTAATAACATAACATGTTACAAAGCTATAAAAAATAGGTATCCCCTGACGTTAACCTGCAGACAAGGTCAGATTACTCTGAGAAGGAATCTGAACCTCTCTGATGATTTGTGTGGAGAGTCTGGAAGCAGGTGAGTAGGTGAGACAGATGTTTGCAGGCAGGAGAAGAAAGAGCAGATTCCACAGAGACTACATGAATCTTACTCTGAGGAGTTCTGCTGAGGTCTCCAACATCTTGAGAGGTTGCCCAGATGCTCTGCAGAGATAATTCCACTCCACTTCTTAGATTATTTTACTTACTCAGGGTCTAGCTTTTGAATTCATAGCTAAACTGAGACTTGCTGTAGAATCAACGAGATCACTTTCCTCAAAGGAATTTTTTTCCAACTGGTTTTAATTTCTCATTTTAAATGTTTGAACATTCTAAAAAACATGCCATGAGGCTTGGCTCTTGTTTTTAATATAAAGTTGAGAGAATTATGCATAAAATCCTTCAGTTTGAAATGTAAACTTTCTAAGTTTGGAAAAATAGATGTTGTCATTGTCTAAGCATGGCCTGTTTTCAGAACATGCTCAGGACCAAGGTTTAACATTGTGCCTGATTCTCATAAAAATGCCTTCAGACATTCCTGCCATACTATGTTGGTCTCTGAGGATCTGGTGTCATTGAAAAGACATAGAAAAAAAACCCTCAGAATTGTAGAGAAAAAGAAAGACAGTGAGAGGATGGAAAAGTCCAGGACAGGTAGAGTTCAGGGAGCTAGGTTTTATTGATTCTGAAGGAGTGAAAAAGGAGCCCAACGTTTCCCACAGATCAGAAGCGCAAGATGTTCAATGACTGAACTGATGTTGTTGGCCCTTGGAACTCGAACTGGAGGTGACTGGCTAAATTCTTACCTCCCAGATACAAGGTCCTAATAGTCCTACTGAGCAGAGAGTGTTATTCCCATTTTAGTGGTGGGTAAGATGGGGTCATAATATACATACTGAACTTGGAGGTGAGCTGGTTGCAAGGAAGAGCTGGCCTTCCAGGAGATGGATAAGGTGACCATTCAAGATTGACTCCTGGGCTTTTGAGAAACCTAGCCTAGGATGATGAGCCAGACACCAATGTCTTTTGTGGCTCATCAAAACCAATATAGGTGAAAATATAATGCTATGTGTCAACTATATTGGAATTTAAAGTAAAATAAGATTTAATTTAAAAAAGCAATGTAGGTAAAATATGTTACACTGGACCCACAGCCTTACAATTTTTCTCAATGAGGACTATTACAATTGGCTTAAATTATGGTCACCACATCTTCTGAGTCAGGATACTTAACTTGACTCACAGAGAAAGTAAAGGTAAACCCTTCTTCTGTCTTACATTGAGGTTCTGGAATAATCTATTCCAGTTTTTTTACCCTGGGTCTTTGATATAGGGTAATTCATTTGATAATATCTTATTTGTGTAACATCATCCTTAGTTTCTAGGCTGCAAGGCAGTTTATAGAAGGAGCTTCTCCTTACCAAAAAGCAAGAAACAAAACAAAACACCCAAAATCAAACAAACAAAAAATCCGTTGCCCCAAGTCACTGGAGTCCTTATTTCTCTCATTCTACTTTCCCCCCTAATTAGTAGAGCCACTAAAAAGCCCATTCCGCATCTATGCCTGCTTTATGGCCAGGGTAATTCCCAGGCAACCATGTGCTGTCCATGTATTTACGTGTCTGTGTGCAGTGAAAACAAGAACTCTGCAGAGGGTCTACGGTCAGCGCTAAGTATACTTAGTTCTTTGACCCACTTCTAGAACCAGATGATGCTGACCAGAAAGACACTTGGTTTCTCTAGTTCTTTTTTTTTTTTCCCCAAGATTTTATTTATTTATTTGACAGAGAGAGCAAGAGAAGAGAAAGAGCACAAGCAGTGGGGAAAGACAGGCAGAGGGAGAGGACCCTGAGATCATGACCTGAGCTGAAGGCAGACACTTAACCGACTGAGCCCCCCAGCTGCCCCAGGTTTCCCTAGTTCTAAACAAGTGCATTGTTAAACAAAAATTTTGCTGTGAACTTTCTAGATTAATGTTGTCACAATTTACCACACCTTCGCCCCATCTCCTCCTGTTTCTTACTATAGCGCAAATAACTACGAATTAGGAGGTTCTAGCTTCACTCTCTTCACCCACCCACTGCACCAAACTGAACGGCCGCGAAGCCGAAGTTTCGGACGAGCTAGACTGTAGGGCATCTTGGGAGTCTGATGCTTTACTAAAAAGAAGCCCATCAGTGTGCACGACAGAAGACAGCACGGTTGTTCATGATCTTGTAAATTCTGAGGATATTTTAAAGATTTTTTCATTTTCTTCCCTCTGCATATTTTTCTTCCCCCAAGTTTTTTCTACTAATTTGTTCAACTTCAGAGGCTTTTCTGTTATGTCTGGTGATCCTTGATTGTCTGCCATTTATCAATAGCAAAAGGGCTAAACACTGATTAGAAGGTCTGAGTGCATGATGTGGGTCTTCTCTACCCAAACTCCAATGGTTAGATGGATTATTAGTTGATAAACCCCCAAATGTCAATATTTTTCTGTCTTTCATCCCGTGCTAGTCAGTCTCCAGAAAAGAGGCTTTCAGTCTCCTGCCTGGAGGGGAAGATCTGGCAGCCACATTCTAGGTGCTGTGTTGGAAGATTACTTGAGCATCTCTGAATTCAGCATTCGGTCACATAATTCCTATTTTCACTTTTGTACTCAAACTCTCAATTACACATAGTATCTCTCCCAGCCCAGCAACCCTCTGTTTTTAGTTTAGTTTTGTTTTGTTTTTTAAGATTTATTCATTCATTTGAGAGAGAGAATGGGCACGTGCATGAGTTGGGGGAGGAGCAGAGGGAGAGAATCCTCAATCAGACCCCCACTGAGCGCTGAGCCTGATACCTCCACCCATAAGATCGTGACCTGAGCCAAAACCAAGACTTGGACACTTAATCAACTGAGCCACCCAGGTGCCCCCCAGCAATGCTTTGTTTTTACTATCTTTAGAACCAGTAGTAGAGCATTTGGTTCCCACCCCCCCACCAGGACATTTGGCAATATCTGGAGATATTTTTCATTGTCATGGTAAGGCGGTGTGGGGGACCAGGTGTTATGGACACATACTGGGGAGAGGGTAAGGATGCTCTTAAACATTCTACAGGGCACAGAATAACCCCCACTACGAATTATCTCATCCAAAATATCAGTAATGCCAGGGTTGAGAAATCTAGGAAATAAATACCCAACCTTCTGCTGAAGGTAGGGAAGGGCAGGGGCCCAGGGGTGTGAGGTAGGGGAGGAAATCCAAAGATCTGTCTGTTTTTCTCAAGAACTTTTAAACCAGTCTTCCTCATTTTAGCCACCCTCTTAATCCGGTTCCAGGGGTAAACAGTGCTACCAAATTTGAAGATCATTGTATAAGTCAATTTTCCCCCCACCTTTTTCTACTGTTGGCTTAGAATTCAAAGCAGTCTCTGGTCTGTTATATTAGTCGATCTATTTTCAAACATCAAAAATTTTCTTACTCTTGTCTCCTCTCCTGTTTTTCCTACCAACAGGGGCTCCTACCCTTCTTCTGCAGTTCTGTAGGGTTTCAAGAGGGAACAAAATTATATGTGTAATCTGGAAAAAAACCTATATGTGTATATTCTATCTGCCATTTTGAGCCAGAATCAGAGATCTCTATTTCTTGACATGGAAATATGTCCATAGTGGGTTTTTTTAATTAATTTATTTTTTTAATAAACATATAATATATTTTTATCCCCCGGGGTACAGGTCTGTGAATCGCCAGGTTTACACATTTCACAGCACTAGTCTATAGTGTTTTAAGAGAAAAAAAGTAGGCTACAATGTATTTTGGAAAGGGTGATTCTATTCCAAAAGAGAAAAGGACAAAACATAAATCTTCTATAACTAATCTCTGTGTACATAGAAAAATATTCTAGAAGACTAAATATAAAATGCCAATAATGGTTATGTCTGGATGGTGGTATGACAACAGATTTTACTTTCTCCTTTTTGTTTGTATGTGTAGTCCAAATATTTTATAATAAATATGTATTTATTTCATAAGCAGATGTCAGAAAAATTATCAAGCACTGGAAATAAGACAAAAAATGATTACATGTCTTTTCAGTGTCATACTGGAACATTGTTTAACAGGCCTACCAGAGGAATTTTATAAGGAATTATGCCATACTAATGACTATCAACTAGGGCCAAAACTCAGTGAAGTTTACCTGTTGTAACCTGTTACATTTTTGTCCAGGAGAAATGTAAATTATTTCTATCTGGTAGAAACTACAACTTCAAGGTTATGGACTTAGTACCTTAGAGGACATTAACCAATTTTAGATCTACCCAACAATCATATTCTGGCATCCTTTTTCTTCAGTTCCTACAACTACTCGGTTTGATCAAATGCTCTATGAACTTGTTTTACCATTTTGCTGGTTCTCTCATTAATGAATTAAATAAACCTTTGACACATTTTCATATTTGAATGAGAATTGTTTTTAACTTTTTGAAAATTCTACTTTGAAACAAATGAAATCATAAAGCTATCTCCAGTTTGGAGAAAGGAAAAAAAAAATGTAACGAATACCTCAGACTTAACAAAATAAACGTGCTCTGTGATGCGTTTAACCCCTGCCTACTGCCCTGCCTGGGTTCTTTGTGCTTCAGCTGGACCTGTCTGAGCTCTGACTCCTGCACATACCTTTGGACAGCCAGCGATGCTGAGAGATGTGAGGCAAATGCAATAAATGGCCAATGCTTTAATAATCTCATCTGTCAGCTGGGGGCAATAAGAGACATCCAAATGTTCTAAGATCAGTGAGCCTTTGCAGAATGCCTGCAAGAAATTCCAAAGTCAGAGGGTTTTTTTTCTCTTAAGTCTTTATTTGTATGTTGTGTATATCTGGAGCTACCTTACCCATAGCAGTTTACTTAGTATGCATTTCAGTCCCTGAAATAGAGATATGTTACATCGTGTTGAGGAAAATAAAAAAGCAATTACATCCATTTTTTTTTTAAGCAAAAGACATTCACATACCAGCTTAACAGCTTAGCAATATTCAAATTCCTGTTAACAGAATTTGGTTTTCCTGAATTTAGTGCTAATGAGATTTTACCCAGGTGTTTAATAATTATTAGAGTTATATTAGACAAATGACTGGAGGGAAAGGAATCTGGAGGGGAGAATTAGATGGGAGACACTCTGGGTCTGGGGTTGATGGTATTAACATAACAGAAAGACCACAGTCTTTGGAATCAGGTAGACCTGAGTTTTAATTTCATTTCCACCACTGATTAGCTCTGAAAGTTTAGCAAGTCACCTCATTTTTCTGACCCTCAGTTTTTTCTTTTTTAAATCAGGGAAAATAATATCTACTCTCTAACATTGTTCTGAAATATGAAAATGTTCACCTGGAGTTTCTAGGGCTAACAAAGGCCTAGAAATGATTGGAACTTCTTCCGTTTACCTTAGTAGTTCTTAAGTTTCATTTTTCAGTTAAAAGGAAGAACTGTGTGAGAAGAATCCATGAGGAAATAACAAGAGTTTACAAGCCAGCAATTATACAAGAACAAAAAGATACACAAAAGTAAACCTAATAGTAGTTGTAAAAATATCCTAAGTCAAGATGAGTAGGAGTTGGAAACCATGAACAACTCAAGCTATACTAATACTGTACTTATAGAAGTCCCTCCCCCAAATTATAAAAAACTAGAAATTATCAACAGGTGCCCAGTCACTCTAGAGGTTTTGGCTCATTGAGAAGCAGCTCAAATTTTTAGAATACTAAATTGGAGACCTCAGTAAATGATAGTTGACCATTAATTTTAGTTATAAATATTAGATTTTAGTAACTAGTGAGTTACTAGTAAGACATTACTTGTTTATATGTAAAAATGGATATCCATCAGACTATATGTGATTTTCCTCTCAGACCTGAGGGAGGGACCTGGGCTGTTGGATCACTTGATGGCCATCAGGATGACTCCACAGGTAAGACTACCAGTGGGCTTCCCTCCCATTGAGTATGCTAATTTACAGTCTTTTTTTTTTTTTTTTTTTTTTTTTTTTGCCCTAAAGAAGACTGGGAAGAACCAGTCAGCCCACTATTTTCTTTAGCAACTTAGTAAAAGAGGGAAAATTTCCAGGGGCAATTTAGCACAGGAGGCAAAAGATAGTACTAAAAATTTTTGGTAATTTAACCCTCAATCACTGTCTCTTCCTGACCAACATAACAAACGGCAATTCCTTTTTCCTCTCACCTCATGTGGAACTTGTCTTTTTCAATGGATTCAGCAGTTATAGTACTTGACTTATTCCTGTATTGTGGCTAACTAATTTGTATAGAGATCTGTTTTCTCTAGCAACTAAGTGGTGTCAAAAAATGGAGGGGACAGCTTGTCATAAGATAGTGAGGTCCCTGTCATTGGAGATAACCAAGTATAGAGATTACACCCAGTGGTGGTACAGAGGGGAATCTGGCTTTGAAGGATTGGAATTATCTAGAGATTTAACAAGTTTTTCAAAGCAAATACAGGAAGTATCTCAGAGGTATTGTGTGGAACGCTATTAGATTTGTTTGTTTGTTTGTTTGTTTCAGAGGTAGAATTTAGTGATTCATCAGTTGCATATAACACCCATGCTCATTACATCAAGTGCCTTCCTAATGCCTGCCCAACACCCAGTTATCCCTCCCCCGCCACCTCCCCTCCAGCAATCCTCAGTTTATTTCTTAAGAGTTCTCAATTTTCATCTTATTTTTCCTTCCCTTCCCCTATGTTCATCTGTTTTGTTTCTTAAATTCCACATTTGTGTGAAATCATATGGTATTTTTCTTTCTCGACTGACTTCTAGTTCCATCCACGTCATCACAAATGGCAAGATTTCATTCTTCTTGATGGCTGAGTAATATAATATTCCATTATATAGAGAGAGAGACACACATATACACACCACATCTTCTTTATCCATTCATCTGCTAATAGACCTCTGGGCTCCTAACATATTTTGGCTATTGTGGTCATTGCTGCTACAAACATTGGGTTGCACGTGCCCCTTCAAACTACTACATTTTTATCCTTTGGATAAATACCTAGTGGTGCAATTGCTGGGTTGTAGGGTAGTTATATTATTAACTTCTTGAGGAAACTCCACTTTTGCCTAAGTGGCTGTATCACCAAAATCAGTTGTTTCCTGAATTGTTAATTTTTCTGCTAGATTTTTATACCCCCTTCACAAGCATCATATTTATAATTCGGTAGGTTCTAGATATATATTAGTTGGTTGGTCCACCCTTTATAAGTGTTTCAAGAATACAAAGAATTTGGGTGGTTTTTTTTTTTTTTAAGAATTCTGTTTTAATAATATAGGAATTCTTAGGTCACAAGGGGTAGGATAACATAGTTTTCTGTTTAGAGAATAGACAGAGTCCAAAGAACCAGAGAAAATTTACAACAAGAAGGAATATTTATGCTAAGAATAATTTATTAAAAGATGAAGTGAGCTTTAAAGAGATTCAAGGCGCTTAGTTTCTGAAAACCCTTACAGTTACATGTTACATCTGTCCATGTTTTGGACTGCTTGACTCAGTTCTGCTTCAAGTCTTCTTAAAACCTCTAATATTCTTTGAATTTGAACTTTCTCAGAGGTTTTAAAATTAAAGAATAACTTAAAAAACGTATTAGAAGGTCTATGATACATTCATGGTAGCATTCTCATCCATGGAAAATCTGAGGCATAAAGATTGGTCTCAGGCTTTGTGCTTGGCATAAGTCACTGCAGATCCGAGAAGTAAGTCCGAACTTCTCTTTTCTTTATAATTCATCTTTTCCTTTAGAGACATGTAAGTCATAAGTAACTTAAGTCTGCAGTCATGTTTCACCATAATCACTCATGAAATTCCATTTCTCCCCTACAGATAAGATTATTTTATGCTTTTCTGGCTCAGTGTTGCAGATTCTGACATATATTAGTGCTGTTGATTTTCTTGTCTTGGAACATGTCAGACTAAACTTCTTCCCAGACAAAATCTTTTGTAGTGAAGATGGGGAGAAAACAGACATTATCAGGTTTGGCTCCCAACCCACATATCAACCAGTTTTGCTGTGCGTTAACAATTTTGAAGTAAACCTCCACATCTTAGTGAGTTAAATCATTTCTTTTCTGTATGTCCTGAGCTGAGTCACAATGTGGGAAGGCTGAATGACCACATTCCTAAATTGGGTATGTAGAGGAGACCAAGTCTCACTGACATTTACTGACTATCACAAAGACGTGCTTCTGCCAAAATCCTGATTTAAGCCCCCTCAACAGGTGGCACTCTCAGCCCCAAAAAACTCCCCTTGTGGTGCATACCCATCTTTTGACTAGTTACCTCATTAGGTTCTGATTCATTCTACCACTAAGTTTTGTGGGTTTTTTTTTTTTTTCCTATTGATAATCTTGGGAAAATCTTGTACTGTCCAGAACCATTTTCTATGAAGACTGGTTTTGGCTGTTTCAAAGGCTAAAATACAACTTTCACAATTTTAAGTTATAAACTGGATTCAAAACTAGTTTCTTGGGCATCATATATCCCATTGAAGATAGCCTTGGTCCCACTAGACATCAGAGTAAGTGGGTGTAACAATGGCCTGGGCACAGTGAGCTGGGGAATCCGGGCATTGCCACCAAAACTAAACCCTGTAAAGCCTCACCTCCTAGTGAGATGCCTCTCCTATTCTCACCCTCCCTGCCGGGGAAACCAGACTGTTCCAGACTTAGCTAAGACATAACTTCTTTTAAATATGGAGGAGATTCAAAAAGGGTAAAGTCCAAAGCCCCAAACAGGCATTTCCAAAGATACTTTCATGATGCAGTTTTTTACCTAATTACATGGTAATTTGGGAGATAAGCTTTAGCTTCAAGCCAGCTCAAATATGGCTTACTCCACAAACTTTTCCCCGGTTCCTTCTTCTGGAGGAAATGCCTCTTCCAAATCCCTATAGCATTTAATTTTTTTGTCTTTCCCACTTCACCCTGTATTATAGCTATTTATATCACTGTTTTATCTTCTGCATTGACTATAGCTTCTTGAGGGTGGACTCCAAGTCTGATTTATTTTTGTGGCCTCAACATCTAGATGCAGAAGAGGTTCAAGATGAGAGAATGTCCAAAGAAAATGCCTCTTAGCATAGGAGTGAGGAAAACGAGCTCCCATGGATTGCTGTCAGGATGCTAAGTCCAGTCCTTCCTCACACCCTGTTTAATACCTGCAGTTATGAAGATGGTTAAGAGCACAGAGTCTGGGGCCCACCAGCCCGAGTTCATATCCTGCCATTTGGAAGTTCTGTGTCTCTGGATAAATTACCCACCCTCTCAATTCCTCAGTGATCTCATTTGCAAATAACATGGTACCTTAATATGGCACCTACTTCAAAGGGTTGTTGGGAGGATAAAGTGAGTTAATATGAACAAAGCAATTGGAGAGTAGCTGGCACAGAGTAAGCAGTCAGTAAATAATAACCAGTACCGTTATTTGTATTCTGCTTCTCTTGCACTCTTCTGCTGTATGGTATGATTGCCAGATTTTTTAAATGATACACCTCATAGTAAAAATATTTTAAGATGCACTTTCAATAAATGCATTAATATACTTACAAATTATATAGACATATAATTATTCAAATATATATTATTTTATATTCTAAAAATATATATTATCTTACAAATGTATAGTATATGGATCTTATATATGATATATTATATCATATAAAAATAAAATAAGACAAAAATAAATCTGAATAGAAGTTCTAATATATTCTTGTCACACTGAAATAGATCATCTTGTTCATTCCCCT